GGAGCTGGACTTTTATTACTGTATACAAAATAAAACAGGACTAGATTAGGAAGGGCTTTGAAGGGGAGACAAGTAGCTTGTGCTTGTTACAATCATGAAGTGATTGTAGTGGAAGGATGCAGAAGCAAGGGGACAGTTAAAACAGCAGTATATTGAATGGAGATGAGCATGACTAAACTACATTGATCTGTAGGGCATGAAAAAAATTGTCTCATGGTACTTCACTATTGCTCAGAAAAATATGACTGCAGAAGCCTAGCCCACTAGTAATTAGAGACACTAAAATATAGAACTCAGTACAGCCCACCCATAAAGTACTGTTGATCTCTCATTCATCAGCTTGGCTCGCAGAGCAAGTACCTTAGATTAATAGAAGGTCCTTATATGGCCTCTCTTCCTAGAGATCCAAGTGTCATGTAATCTTCTCAACTGTCCTATGAGAACAAAATCTTTCCCTTATTTTCACAAATGGGAAATGATCAGAGAAACATCAAGTGACTTGCTGAAAGTCATTTAGGAGTAGAGATCCACTCGATTAATCTAATTATCACACTCTAGCAGCCTTGGCATCACGTTTGACAAGCTCCAGTTAAAGCACCCCTGCCACCATTTTGAAGCACAGGATGCTCCATGCATGAGATGCTGAGGGTGCTTTAATTACAGTGACTCCCAAAAGCTGCTCTAATTAAAGCACCCCCATGCTCCACTGTGGAGGCCAAGTAAAGATGTCCAAAGTGCCAAGGTATACAGATGTTCCCTGAAGGTCAAATTGGGCAAAAATGGCCAGCACAATCTAACTTAGAGCTACACCAGGCATGAGTTAGACTGAACATGTGCACATATTCAGAGTAGGGTCCTGGGTATGCGAAAGCCCAGCCACTTGCAGCAGCTCTGCAATTTCCCTACCTACCTGCTTGACTGGGCTATTTTTAGCACCCCTTTCCCCCCAAGTTTCCCACCTCCAGACAGACAACCCCCCCCTGCAGATTTGCCAGCCTCTCTGATCCCACCAGACCCCTTACCTGGACACCACCAACTCCCTTCAGAACTGGTAGCCTCTCCAATCCCACTAACTCCTCACAGACCTGCTGACCCACAAAAATCTGCCTGCCCCTCCCTTCACCCAGACTGATTTAGATCAGACTCCTGGCACTGGAAAACATCTGTAAAACCAGGACCCAATCCAGAATCACACTACTTAAAGCAAGCCACATGATTGTAAAGCAGATCATGGGAATATACTGTTCTGCAATTAATTTTTTTCAATAGGAAATGAGTGTTTTGTGCAGAAATTACAGTGGGAAACCTAACTTACTTGGGACTTTTTGGGGGGGAACCCTCTAAAACTGAGTGTGTGGATAAGTGTAAGAGAGGGAAGGAAAAAAAGATAAACAGTGTACTATAATGACTTTGTAGTTATATCACCTAACATTTGGCTCCAATTGATAGATTTCTGCTCTAGCTTCAAGCAGAAGGGTCTGCTACATTTTCTTGCTGAAAGGCCAGGGTTGGATCTTCATGAACAGCCATTGCAAATATTTCCCAGCGATTATATTTTCCTCTTACGGTTTTATTATCTTTCATACACCATTCTCATGGCATATTATTTGATATGAATCCAGTTGCTGTTTTAACAAAGCTGTTTGAAGATTCTCCTCTAGATTAATATTTATTCCATGTGGGAAATGCTGACAGATATTGTGGACTTTTCTGCTGTGTAGTTGGGGTATCCAGGTCAAACCTCATCACTGGTTCTGCAGTAAGTCTCTCAGTGGGAATATTATTTAACTGCAGTAACAAGTCCCAGGACAATCCTTTGGGGGTACAGCATTGTTCCTTAAAGTGAAGGAACTCCAAGTATTTGCCTAGTTAGCACCTGATAACAATTTTCCATTCAGCATCAATGCCATTTGGATTTTGTTTTTCTGAACAAAATAAACACGTGCTTGTATTCTTTGCCGAAACTTAAGGCATATCTATAGCCTAGAGACATAACACATCCCTACAGCAAAGTCACAAGTTCCTATCAGCACATTCTTAGCCAGTCTGATTAAAGGTCTCAAGCATTTCCATTTTTAAGGAAAATGCACAGGTTATACACTTGGCAGAAGAGATGGGGGCTACCTTGCCCTGACATCTGAATGACAGAAGATGGGTCAGATAGATGCCTTATTTTGGACAAGGTGCTTGGAGGCAGTTTGTTTGGAAATAGAATACCAGACCCACAGAAGCATCCAGGGCCAAATGTTTTCAAGAATTACTGGTGACCTCAGAAAAGTGCAGCCAGACTCTTTAAAGGCATCTGATTTCAGAAAAAAACGTTGGGAGCACCCACTCACTGAAACCTGAAAGGGTGTCTTCATACAGTAAGGCCATAGGGTCCATTATTCATCATCTAGTTGGCTCTTACATATAGTATGGGCCATAGAATTGTTCTTACCTGCCACTGTTGCAAATCTGGTAACTTGGGTCAATCATAGCTGCTTCCAATAAAAAGGAACCAGTCCTAGAGAACCCACTTTTTCATTTTGCAGATCTCTTCAATGATTAGATTACTCATTTAAAAAGAACTGTCTATACAGTTGGTCCAATAACAAAGATCACAAAAAAAAAGCTTGCATCTTCAAGTCATTTCAAAATTAGGCACTTAAAAACAAAAAGAATCCCCCACCAACAGTCTCCATCTTTGAAGGGCATGGCTTTGAGTCAAGCAAATGCCAAAATGTAAAATTTGGTGTTTTCCATTATTCACAAGACTGTTTCTCAAAATATTGTGAGCTACTGAACTTCCTTCACGGAAGATCATGAATCATTTTATCATCTAAAACTTAGTGTGTAATCTCTCTCTCCCCCCTGTGTCTGTGAATTGTCCCTTTGAAAAGCGAGTCATTACTGAAGATGTGCATGCAAGCTTGCTGCAATATTAAAAGAGACGCAAGCACACAAAGAAATGGTCATTGAAAGTCATGTGTAATTTTATTTCAACATATCAAGCACAAACAGATTTCCCCTAACTGGGGAACAGGACAAGGAATGTAGTTAAAAATTTGGAAACATTTACATTTAAAGTTAGCCCAGACTGGCACCACCACTAAGTATTTTAAGGCTATATATATATATATATATATATATATATATATATATATACATAGAGCAGTATTTTTATCACTTGGAACTACTGCAGGCCAGAAAAGAAAGGCTTAGTACTGACTGTAGTCTACAGAAAATATTGCAAATTTTTTTTTTAAAAATGGTGTAAAATAGGAAGACTATTAACAGAGTTGAACAATGCAGTGGCAAAACCCTTACCCTTCCTGACCCTTAACAATAGACGTGCCTACGATCAAACAAATGTTACACACATACTTGCTCCCACCCACCCACTCCACTTATTTTGGGGCAATGAGAAATTTTGAGGAGTTCCTCAATATAATGGTAGTGTGTTATAATATAAAAACAGCCATATAGCAAAATGAAAAAAAAAAGTGACCAGGACTTATAAAACAGGCATGTCCGACATTTTACTCAATGGGCCTGGTTCAGGACATTGTCAGCTCTGTAATACAATACAGAACTTTAATAAAAACACCTCCCATGTCCTAAAGAGGAACAGCTCTAGGAAATCGTGCATATTTACAACCTTTGTGGAATGGAGTGTGAAGCATATTTTCAGGTCCAAATTTCCCATGTGTCAACTAAAAAACCCTAGGAGACACTGTGACATTGATACCCACATAGTTGGATTTCTGGGCTATTGTCTGTTGCTTTCCAACCCCCCAATAATTAAATGCACCCAGACATCCTGAAAAAAAAGAAGATAAATCAGAACCCTGCCCCCTTCTCCCCAGTGCTCAGAGCAATAAAACAAGCCAATGGGACCGTTCTAAAACCCTGTGTTTACACCATTATCGGGGCACCAATACTGCTTGGTAATTATTAACTGCATCAGAGAATGACAAGACATAGAAAACAAATTGCACAAATAAAGCTACATTTGGCTTTAGCATTAAGGCCCATACAGGTTAAGAGGTCCTTGAAGATGTACACATAAAGGCAAATTACAGAATCTGAAGGAACAAAACTCTGCAGGTTCCCTAGGTCCCTGTTTAACCTTGCTCTCTCTTCCTCCTTTGTTGTGTTGGTTCTAAAGTGCTTGGTGCCTCAATGGGCTCCTTACGCGAGTGGCCCCCTCCCACAGCCGGTGATTTTTATTGCTGCCAAACATAGTGTTTTTATTTGAAGACATAATTAATGAATAGTTGACATGTAAGAAAGATGCAAAGGAGAAACCAACAGCGGGAGTCCAGAAGGAGGTTTTCAGAAGAGAGCCTCCTGTAGAAAGATTTCTTGTTCAGAACAGCGAGGTTTCTGAAACAAAAAGCAACACTTTTGTATCAAGGAAGGGAATGTACATAAATGTCCCACCCTGCTGCCCCTCCACCCTAGAGCCTCTACCCAAGCAAGACTTACTTGAAGAGTACAGGCCTAAGTCTCTATGGTTTTCCATTTCTAAAAGGAATATGACTTCCATTCTCCTAGTCTTTGTCTTTTCTATTTCAGCTGTAAGCTTTTCAGGATACTATATGAGTATAGAGCCCAAAACAATGGTGCTCTGATGTCACTTAGGGTCCCCAGGTACTATTGCAATACAAACATTATATCAGGTTCTATGCAGCAGAAATGCAAGAGAATTTTCAGCACATCTCAGTTTAAGTGCCAAAAATAAAGTGGCTGGATTTGCACAAGCTCTCATCTGGCTCCAGGTATGACAATGAGGACCTCAGATCTAGCCCTAATTGTGGGCATAAAGCCCTTGGGAGCCTAGCTCTAAGCATAGGACAAGCAGCATAGAACAGCAAGTAGTGTGAGATACACATGCTGTCAAGTTGTTGCCAGAATTTGTTAGCTCTAGGGAAGAATAAGTTTCCTGGCCATGTCCAATAAAAATCAGATGCTTCTTATTTATGCTTAAACTCATTAGCTTTCTAAAATTATTAGAGAAGTTTCTGTAACTGGAAACCTTTAGCTTTGTTAGACAGCTGATAATAGTGGACTTCCCCACATCCTCACCTGTGACCCCCAATTTGGGGAATCTGGGGAACTATTTTGAAGTATGCCAGCCTGCAAAGTTAGATTGCATCTAGACATTAAAGTGGGAAGAGACCACAAAAATATATCCTGGGTCTAACAGTCAGGTACAAGCCTACATCTTGGCCTACTTGGAACACAGGGATTTCTGACGCTTGTGGAAGAGAGGTGGGGCCATGGACCCAGCCTCATTTCTGCAGCCAGAGACTGTTCATCTGGTATCTGATCCTGTTCTACTGAAGACAGTGAGAGCAGAATCAGGCCCCTGGTACACAGGAGAATGACTGTAGCACTCCATGTAGGATACAAGAGCAAGCATATTCCTCCCATCTGTCTTGGAGCTCCAGTGAAGATTGCACCTCTTGATGCTCTTTCATTGGTAGAGTAGTCTCACCCTGAACCCTAGGCAACGTAAGAGACTAAAAGCCACAAAAGAGCTCCACAAAAGTGTGGCCATTTTAGAGTGCAACACTTATGTGCCATAGTTCTTTAGCCAGCTGTGATCATTTCTTCTCAAAGACATTCTTAAGGCAAGCCTTAAATCCAGGCTGACAGGCCCATTTCTCCTGATTGGTTTAAGTATGTCTCCTTTGACAGCAAAGTAGAGAGATTCATCATAGGGTATACAGGTGCCTGTTGGGGAAAGGGGGATATATGCTACTCCCCGCGGCTCCCAGTCTGCACACCATCAGGTCAGGTGGGCTCCACGCCTCCACATGAGGCTCCCTGCTGGAGGGCTCCTTTTCTAGGATACATATTATTGTACCCTTTAACATACAACCATGCTCCAAAGGCCAGCTCAGAGGAGTCCAATTATTTTTGGGTTTATAAGATCATAGTGTTGTTGGAAGCAGTTACCGATGTATGTCCTGTTGGGCTCTCTGTAGAGATAAAACTGCAGTATGAATTTCCTTCAAGTGATTCATTTCCTTCCCACACTGAGTACATGGACTTTCAAATCCTGTTGCAAAAAAACATTGAGAGGAACACAGATCTCATACATGTCTGATGATGGTAGAGCCACTCACCATATGAGACGACAACCCCCCCACCCCCACATAGTGGTTGGCTGGCTTTATATGACACTAAACATAAGGAACCACTAGCCTAGAACTTGAAGCTAGTGAGAATTTTGCTCACCAGAACTAGTAGTGAAGTTTACATGAAACTCAACTGGAACCGTCTCGGTCCAAGGAAGCCCCTCCCTTCACAAAGCCTAAGCCCCCCCTGCCTGGTACAGCAATATAGTGATGGGCACCTTCCCCTCCCCATTTTTCCCTACACCATTTTTCTGTAATTTTCAAGGACACCTGGCTCTTCAACAAAAGCTCAAGACACAGAAGTGGAAAGTTAGGTTTGTATCCTTACTAACTTGAGGCCTTAAATGGATGCAGTTGATGTTTTTTTGCAATGCTGTAAGCTAGCTTCTGCTAGAAAAGCCACTGACATTGTAAAGTCAGTACTTGGGAAGCCCTTGGTAGCACTGCTAACATAAAAAAAAAAGAATAGGGGTGGTACATGATTTAGGTGACCATATGGCCTGGATTTTGGAGGCTCTCTCAGCATCTCTGCCACTGGAGAAAATTGAAGCAAGAGTCCCAGACTGGTGGGAACCCGCCCACACTTGCCCAGCTCCCAAGTCAAGAGCTGGGTGTGTATGTGCATGTATATGTATGTGTGCACATGCGTGTCCCGCCCGGCCCCACTCATGGGAGCTGGGGGGGCTGCACACTGGCAGCTCCCTGTGTCTCAGATTTCCCTCAAATTATTATGGTCACCCTATATATGATGAATGTTAAAATAACTAACCAAGCAAGCTCAGAACCTCAGGTGACAAATGCTGATTCCTATAATCAAGCTGAGATACTCCTCTCTTCTTAACTCACTTTTGCGAAATCATCCAGTTGGATGATATAAGGCAAGAACACTCAACCCTGGTCTGCAGACTGTGTCATCTGCCCACTAGCTCCCCCACAGGTCTGGAAATTTGGCAGCAGAGAAGAGAAGCAGTGGCAGCATTAATTTCCAGACCTGTGGGGAGTTTGGCAAGCCAGATAGTGTGGGCCTGTACACTAGACTGGACACATGGGGTTGAGGCAGCCTGGGGCCTGACCCCAGTGTGTGGGGCTGAGCCAAGGTGGCACAGATCCAGGCACAGGCAGAACAGGGTCCAGCCATGCTTGCCAATCCTGCAATGGATCCATCCCATGGACTGGTACCACACCACTCATGTGGCCCATGGGATCAGAAAACAGAGTACCATTGACAAAGGAAAGATGCCAGATACAAGCAAGGGGACGAGAATCTGACCCAGCATTGCCCAAATACTTGCCATCATCATCCGAAAGCTCCTGCACAGACTCTGGTGTTGAACAGCTGCTCTCAGTGTTCTGGCTGTGATTGGACGGTTGGTCGCTGGCCTTACGACGCCTGCAGTCTTTTGCAGACCTCTAGATAAAAGAAGGAATTATTAAGAAGGGACACTGTCAAATTTGAGACTCAACATTTGACCTTCAGAGTGCCTGGTGACATTCTGGTAAAGCAACCCAAACACCTGCTTAGCACCTTAGCATCAGATCTTAAGTAGCTATTCACAAACACTAGCAATCGCTCTTAAAAAGCAAACTTTTTTCTGAAATCACAAAACTCTCAACCTTGGTGTAATTAACTTCAATATGCTTAAGACCAGGAATGAATTTGGCCCAAGTATTCTGTATTCCTGCAAGTTCTGAATGTTGATATCACCCATGATGCTAGCACATGACAGAAACTGGATCAGATTGTTGATCTGGATTGAAAGTACATCGGAGAAATTTTCAAAAGGAGCCTAAAAGATTTACGAGCCTGAGTCCTATTAGGGATATGCATCTCTTTTTTCTTAATTTTTACATGTGCTTTTGAAAACTCGATAGTGTTTTGGAAAGTGAACCACAACTTTAGATCCAAAATGCTCCTGATTAAATATTTAGATTTGGATTTCAAAACCCTGTACTTAAGCTCCACTCATGCTCTGACCACAAGTTCAACCTCTAGGGCCACGTCCAGTCATGCATGGATGTTTGGTTCCCCAGGGACTAGTGGTGGCACACCTTGTACTGCTACTAGTTGCCCGCGGGGAATGCCTGTGCCATGTGCACTCTGGCACACAGCATGTTACCTCAAGTGGGGTAGGGGTGGCTGAGGCCAGTACTGGGCTGGCCCCAGTAGCCTTATGTGGGGTCCTGGGGGCCTCCTGGGACTGCAGCAGTGGTGATCCTGCTGCACAGAGCCTGCCTGGCAGTGGAGTGTGGCTCCAGCCGGCCAAGCTCCGGTTTTGGGTGGTGCACACTGCTGCCACATGCACCACTCCACTTCTTTTTCTGCAGATTTTTTTTTTTTTTTACCTTGGATATCCAGGGGACAACCCCCACTCCTGCGCTGCTCCTGTGCAGCACAGAGAACAACTGAACATGCAGTATGTGGCACCACAGATGTGTCTGCGGCACCACATACCTCACAGCCATGTTCATCTGGACACGGCCCAGCAGTCTAATGAGATCTAATATTTTTCTATAGAAAAAATTTAGTTCAACCTTATTCAAAAGAACAATCACAGGACAAGGAACCTATATCAGTTATGATTGATAAGGGGTGTGTCACAACCCAGTGATTTTTGTGCCTCGGCACTATGGAATTTCCTGGCGACATGAGAGCTCCTTTGCACGGCAGAGTGTTCTGCTGCAATTGAGAACCCGCGTGCAGGAGAGAGTTCCCGCCAATTTACAGTTTCCTTTGCAGGATGCATTTCTTC